TAGAAAAGGTTTTTGGTTCAATCCATCAAATTGTAATTGGACACTAGTAAGTACTAGTGCACTTGTTGCTACCTCCCCCCTTCGGTTTCATGTATTCCTCTCAATCAGTTCAAACCTAGGAGGATTAAACATTAATGTTAATTAATGTTAAATCCTCCTAGGTTCAAACCTGAAACACCCAGATCGAAACTCGCCTGTCGTTATTTTAACATCGCCTTATTTTTTTACTATATTTTTCAAAAAAGAAAGATTACATTGATTTACTTTGGATTTTAAAAATGTGAACGTTTTATTTTATTAAAGATTTATGGTGATAGGTACGTAAATATTGTGGTGTAGTAAAGTATATTATATTGTAGTTAAGTGTTAAATTTTGAAATTTTAGGGCGAATCAAGATGAATCATTGTTTATAACATGGGTCTCTCCTACCTTAACACACATACCAAGTTTCATAAACATCGGTTGGAAAAGTGTAAAGATAAATATTTGTATGTAAAAAATACAAAATGGCGGATATCTGGTTAACGAAACGATTTTGGAAAAAATGTTATTCTTGATTTTCTGTTTATTTTGACCCAAGGAATTACTAGGTAAAGTATCTTCCCTCTTATTTTAACACCCTGTTTATGATGTATTCTTATAAGTGAAAAATGTAAGCTGGTAATACAGAAAGATGTTTTATAAATAATATGAATGTACTGGTGATCTGTATATTCATCTTTTTCTTGTCCTTAGAACTGTACATTAAAGTCCACTCAGCAGTCGCATCGTACGATGTAGTTCTTTCCATGCGTTGCGAAATGCTAAATTTGCCGTCCTCTTCAACCCAAGTTATCTATTGAACCACTGATTGTAAAAAAATCCAAAAAATATATTTTACGCATCACACTTTTGGCTACAACTTTGCCACAGACAAAACCTCCCTAACCCAAAAACAAAAAAAAATCTCGCATGCTAACTTTTTCATGTTAGAAATCACGATTTAAAACCATTTCACCATACAAATCAATTTTTATTATTTAGATCGGTAAATAGTTAAAGTTCCAACAAAATAGTCATCGAGTAGGACTAACCAAGAAGCTCTGTACCAAATTTCAAAATTTTAGCACAACTTTAAGTACACCAAAACACGAAATTATTGAAGTCATGCGTCGAGAGGACTATCGTTGTTTTTAACAGATTATACTTTTGACCTTCCGGCACTGTTGACTCAGCGAAACTGAACTTATATTTTATCTTATTTCGTTATATTAAAACTGCTGTTGCATTAGGTCAAATTCCCAATAAGTCAATTGCTTTAACATAGACCACGTTTTTAGCTCGGGCTGTACTATTTGACTTACTGGGATTTTTGATCTACAGACACTGCAAACATTGTAGTTTTTGACCTAGCGGCACAGGTATAAATTATTTGACCTTCCGGGACTGTTGACTTTCTGCAACGCGTCCCTTTGGACACTATGAAACTTTTCTTATGAGATTGCATTTTGGGACTAGTTGATGGACTTGAACGTTATCACACTTACCCCAGATTATGGACACTATGAAATTTTCCCGACAATTCATCATCATTTACCCGACAAATCTGTTACCAAAGCTGTGAGGCTATTTAAATCACCCATCAGTTACTGAGCGCGCTGGTTTGTTTTCGTTGAAGAAATGAAATTATCAATGACGTTATTATACCAGTTGATGACTCTGATCTTAAAATGAAGGACTACAATCAGTATTTTCCGACAGGTTAATATCACTATTGTTAACATTTTGGAACATTTAATGATAGAAAAAGAGTCAAAAAAGTAGATTTTCAATTGTTTACTGCTTTTAATTAGGATACATATATCGGTGTGAAATACATAACTTTTGATTAAATACACATAATTAGGAATTTTACACTTAGTTCGGAATTGACAAAACAGGTAAAAGTGTGCTTCAATAAACAGATAATTTTCAAATAATACAAACGAACACTCAAATGAGAATACAAACTTAAATAACGTTATAATTAGTAGTCCCATCAAAACAACACAAACACAAGTTATACCAAACAAAGAAAGGTTACACTAAAGTGAAAACATCGAAATGTGACATAGAAACTATGAAATACAATATTACAACTTAACCTATCAAACACCGCATTCGGCAGTCAGGAATGTGTGGTCTAGTGTAACTTTAGATTTAGGAAAACAAAATTGAAAAACCACGAACTAACCATAAACATCTAACGGCACTCTTGAGCAGAACGCAGAAATTAGTCACTAAAGAATGGAGACGTTAAAGTAAGTTTTTTACGTGAAAGACAAGGAGCCGAGTGGAAGATATAAGAGTGTGTGGTCAAGCGAGGAAAGTGTCGGTAAAGGTAAGCTGCCACCAACACCAACACGGAAGCCACAATGTCCCCGTTATTGTAGAAACAAGTTTTACATTGTTTTTCTCGTGTAAAATTGGTCGTTGGGAAACAAATATTTGGGGATTTCTAAAATGATAGGGTATTGTCAGCTGAAAGGTTTTGATGGATGACACACTACTAAATGGACCTTTGAATACATGGTATAAATGGAGTATTGAACTTATGAGAATAAGCGGTTTCGTAATCTTTCCTTGATCAGTAACTTGAAAAACGAAGTTCAGAAACATTAGGACATAAGGTTCTAATCTGAAACGTTTCTAACATTACTTCAGGCTCAGTGGTGCGAGGTTATCACTCAATTTAAGCCATTGGTGATTAAAACTCTGCAACTCTAAAACTGAAGCACAGCTACCTCTAGAATTCACAAACAGTCCAATGGTAACATTCCTATGGACACAAGAAAAGTCAGGTGTTTTTGTTTTACACATTTTTAACAGTGTTTTTTTATAAACCCAAAATGACATTTCCAAAAGCACGTCGGTTCTAAATGAGGGACTTGCAGAACTTCTGTTCTCGTATGTCTTAATAAGCTGATATTACCTGACGTTTATTGTCACCTCACTCCGTATATGGGAGCGATCAATTCGCGTGCTCCAGTTTTTTGGTATTTAGCTGCTTTCTGGTGTCGATGGGTCTCTAGTTAGCAGCCGAAGATCCGAGTCGTCGTGTAAACATCATGCATTATGTATCAAGCACCTTTGACTGCGATGCAGTTGATACTACAAGCCTGCCGCGAGATTCCCAATCCATTTTCAAAATCTCGGAAGAACTCGTAGATTGAGTTGAGTCCATTGTTGACTCGTATTACTTGTACTACAGTTTGTCCCGAAGATGGTTTGCTAAAAACCATTCAAAAGGTCGGCCTATCTGTTTTCAATTTGAAAGCCTACCATCAAGAATTAAACGTCACAAATGTCATGTTATTAATTTTCTCATCAATAAAGAAGTGAGCTTGCTCGAGGGATAACAAGGAAAGAGTGCTTGCCTCTTTTACACCTAGAGGTCGAGACTTAAAATTATTTATAGTCTTTATTTAATGGGTGAATTTATATTTATTTTATTTAGTAATGTTGTTAGATATTGTTTTCGGCAGTACGTTTTAATTGGCTATAATGGACAATGGTGACATGTTTTTGGAAAACCAATTAGACTGATTTCATTGAGTAATACTTTAGATAAAATATTTCAATTCTTTTGTAAAATAATAAATAAGGGCATCATCCAAACACGAGAAAGGTTTGGTCTGTACTCAGCAGGTACAGGTAGGTTAGGTATTATTGTAGCTTTAATGGTGCAAACTCTAGGAATTGTCATTCCAATATAGCGACTTATGTGCGTTTAAAAATGTACAATGCAAATAATGAACAATTGATATCCATTTTGAAAATACAGTATATAATTTGAATGTTTTGTCATAGATGAATTTAAATGTAATTCATAGTTCATTGACCTTTGTGATTCAACGTTCAACGACCTAGCAGGATGAATGGACAAAATTCACATTTTCTCAGCGTTAAACTGTTATCGAATTCTCCGGAAATCTGTACACCGTGGTGTTATCTATTATCATTCCCCAGGCGAACTATCCTAGCAACCGTGTTTACATGTATTTAAAATCAATCCAGTCCTGATTGTGTGAAGATAAGCTAACACTGTGGAGCGACCGAGAGGCGAGCGAGACTAAAATGTTGCTGGAGATCGCGACTGAAACCGAGCTGGATAAATATTCATAAACCCTAAACGGACTGATAAGGCTGATAAATTATGTGAAAGTCATTAGAAACCGTGATAGACTCCGCGAGCCTGCGGCGCGATCGCAAACTAGCCAATGATTGATGCGGCCGAGCTAGGTTCCGCTACTACCACCAATCACAGGCCGCCATTACCGGCGCTTCCTCTAATTGGTCAACTGCGATACGCGCTAATCATTGACACGAGATTAATTATTTTCAAATTAGCCGCCCTGTTTGATGGTTAGGAGCCTTCGCTGATGTCGTCTGGTCGTAAATCCGACCTAATTAAGGGCCAAGAGCACTTACAGTCGAAATTGTAATGAGTAAAAAACGTCACCGCCTAGGAAATGACGATTATTTTATTTGTTACAAATTTGACGTGATCAGTACACTCAAAATATATTTGTTTGGCGCAGCATGAGAATTTAGGTCGAAAACATATTTACTACTTCCTCTTCTGGTGATGCCGACAGCACATCTTAAAAAGTCAAAGGAAACAACGAACAGCATCAAATACAACATCTATCTGGAAATATGCCGATGGACTGCACAACTTGATCGAGCAGCAATAGAAACAACAGCCGACTTCAAATGTCTGGACAAATCATGCCTTTGATGCAAAACAGAACTCGAAAAATTATTTGAAATATCATGCTATCGTCCTTTTTATACTAATAGATAACAGCATAACTAAATTCAGGTGTCCAGTTTCCAAGCTACCATTTCAAAATGTAAGTTACCATGGGCAACAGTTATGTCGGAGGTTACCAAAGGAATCTGGTTTTAAAGAAAATCTCAATCCGAACAATAACGGTTCACGGATGTTGTCGGCGATGCCACCCATTGAATGTCGGCGATGACTACAGACGCAGACTGTGGAATATCAAGTGGAGATGCCGAATCTGCTTACCCCGAGGTACATACATCTGCTGCTCTCCTCAAGATAAGACTCGGCACGTGTGAGATACAGATAAAGGTAATTGCAAGTCAGATAATGTCTCGCAATTCCCACAATTGTTCTGCTCCGGATGCGATTTGGGCAGAACGGCTGGCCTTGGAAGGGAGTCTTCTTCAGGTAATGACCAGTCGTTTACACCGATTAAATGTTGAGTCAACTTCCTGCAATCTACCACTAATGTCTGTTCTTACACGCCATTAATTAGTTTACCTAAGAATTTGGGACTGAATCGATGGTGTTTATGTAAGAAACTCTTTAATGCGGATCACAACAGTTAAAGGCGCCTGTGAGGTTATGTCTGTTATTTGATTAGACAACACTTTAGACCACATGCAAGTGTCAGCCAATCGTACTAGCTATTATACCTCTGAGCATACTTAAACAAACATTATACCAATGAAATTCAAAGGCTGTTCCATTTAGAAAAGTCAAGACTACGGCGAGAGGAGGTACCAAGTCACTGAACAACTTCCTTCAATGACGTCCACCTACAAGAAACTGTTGAAAATATAAATTGGTCACTTCGTAAAAATGTGGACCTTAATAGGCCAGGAACCAACTGACCACAGACAACTGTGTGGTGCTCTGTCAAGCCTCCCACTAGCCTCTGTCCTCATTAGAATCTCGGCTTTTAACGTCAAATCAATAGATCACGATAAGATTCCGGTCTGATACTGGCACCTCTCCGAGGCTCATTTCAGGAGTTTTATATCTTCCAATTAACCACCGTTGGCCTAACACAGTAGGGCGGTATACATTTAATGTAGAACCAAAGATAAACTAGGATAAGTGTTAATAACGAGGATCTTAGAATCCAGTAGTGTGTTAAATGTTGTCTCATGGAGTTGAAATATGTCATAACTATGTAAAAGTGGAAAGAATGTAGTCTATCAATTGTTTAATGTTTTATCAAGATTATTCCAATAAAGACACCTTCTATATTCTCTACCATTTGTAATTTGAATTTTCTCTAGTTATGTAAGCTATTATATCGTGTTTATAATTCTCTCCTACCCGCTTCCTCCATCTCGCCATCTCGTCCTAAATCTGCTTGTTGCGGAGTTATAACTGATAATGTAGTATTTTTATAGTTATGATTAAATACGATCATTACGGTTTAACCCCACACTTAAACTGCATACAGTACTGCTTCCATTGACCCGTACTTCACCTTTTATATATTCAATTTGGAGACATGCTCTATAATCTTTTTGTTTGATCTCCTTTCAGTATTTTGGATATTATCACGTATATGCTAATTTAACACTGTGTCAGACTAATTTTCTGTGCACGTGCACGGTTATTATAGTGTTAACATGCCCCGATGACCTCGCGATCTAGATGGCACTGCTACATTTATTACCCGTGCTGTCCGGTCCGGAAATACCCGCCAAATGGAAGCGCCAGCTGCTTGATATTAGCCTTGGCGGGAACTACACATTAAAGCAGTACCGTCGGGTCAGAGCTCCTCGCACTTTCTTGGAACCGCATAATTGCAGTTATTTTTGGACAACAATAAGACGATTAACTATCTCCGTCGTAGTTTAAAATTTAAATCACAGATTTGCATGCGGAGAGCCCCAATTAGACGGTGAATCATGGAGTAATTAAAAGGTTTCGCGGAGGAGTCGCTGCAGGTGTGCTCTATGTCAGTGACACAATAGTAAATATTTGTAACGGTTTCAGTTTATAGTTTGAATGCAGTTAACCGTTTCGGTCGAAATATTAAGTAAACTGCATGCAGATAATAGAGGATAGTAATTAATAAAATACTTGCAAAAACATAGAACTCGACTGTATTATATTTAATCTGAGGTTAAAGTCATGCTTCTTACCTGTACGACCCCTTCCCCCACTACCACTTCTACTGCAGCTCAGATCCCATAGTCAGTAGTCGCTGTGCTCACTCAAGCCAATGATAATTAGCTGATTGTCTGCAAGCCTGTGAGAACTCTGAACCTCCCCTCGCTCTTTCAACCGACCCCGATTTTTTCCAGAATTTCGCCAACGTAGCTGCCTAACAATAGAGCTAATTTAAAGTGGGGCGCGGGCTGCACGGTGACGCGGACTTTTCGAAATCTCCCTCTTTTGGATCTCGGATCTCAGCCCCGGTGTGAACGTCCGTTAGCAGTCCACTACAAAGACCTGTTTTGCAGAAAAAAGTTTAAGACATTTATTTGCTTCAACCGGAAATATTTGAAGCGAAACTAATGCAAACAATAATTCACTCTTTATAGGTTTTCTTTCCAAATTCCTCCTTTTTTAAATGTTACGTTGGAATCCATAGATTTTAAAACTCAATAAACAATGTGTATTTAATATTATTAGTAAAGTTTTCTAGGAGGTATTTTAAGACCCCTTCTTTGCAGGTAAAGACAAGTACATGATAGTATTTAATAGCTTTCGGGGAAATTAATTATGCCTGTGAAGCCCATTATATTTAACTAAGATCGAAATATGCTTGTTCTTATAGAATCACGTAAAACGGATTTTATTAAGATAACAAATTATAACTAAGAACATTGGAGTACCCTGCTCATAGTCAATGTCCACATAATTTGTAGGCCTATATGTTTGCTGTAGTAATACAATTTGTATAGTAGATTGCCACTACAAGTATGGTTGGCAAGGGGAAGAAGAATACATTTTGCTGACCCCTAAAAATAATATAATATGTGAAAGATGTTATAATTTTAAAGTATGCATTAAATGTGAATACATTGACATGTTAACTGTTAAGTATGAACTGGTCCAAAGCCATCCTGGAAAGAATCCACAAGTGAAAAATTATTACGAAGAATGGAAAACGAAGATCTCAGCTATCATCATCGTATCAAATTATAGTTTACACGGATTTTTCTAAACAAAATCGTTGGTTATCAATTGATATAAGCTTGTACCAGGATGAATGCTTTGTTTCAATAGAACACAAAACCTTTTTAACATTTGTTCCATACTTAGGTCTTCATTTTTACAAGCATTTTTACGTTAGACCTCTTGCAATTCACAAGTCCGATTACAGCATTTCATTCCCAACGGTCCCATCGTCGCAAAACTCCCTTGCTCCAATTGTATTTTCGATCTGCTTATCTTGTCTGGTATCAAATCGGAGATTGTTCACACGCATCGGCCAATTAAAATATAAAAGAGAAGACCCCAACTCTGCCCCTGCGAGCAAATCGAACCCTAGGGAAACAATCCCTCACAGTACAATTACAAGGGCTTTGTTGCTCACACAATAGCTCGGGGCTGGAATGCCTTTTTAATATTTGAATAATTGTTTAACCGAAAACACTGCAAAAACTGGAGTACTCCTTTGCCTTTAATAAATTAGCAAGACTACAATGCCTTTAAGACCGTTATGGGTTTTTCATGTTTTAATCTTCTGCATGTCACTGTTTTTATTAGTTAATGAGCATAACATTATGGCAGACGGATTCTAATAAACTTTTTACTAAAGTTCAACTTTATTTTACGTTACAACTTTATTTTTAAAAATCTAAATAAAAATAAGTGTTAGTAAATAAAGACGTCTATAAAGTCTGATGAATAAAGTTTCCAATCTAATTCGAATACAACTTAATACTTATTCCTTACTTATAACTTATTAAGTATACTGTATTTATTGTCTAACTATTACTGTAATTTATTTAATGACTAACTACATAAGTGTAAGTATTCTTTTTATGTGTTATTGGACCTTATTTAGTTAAGAAAATACGATAAATCGTACCATGATTATTGACAAGCTATTTAACTTGTATTTTGAACGATTATGCTGCGTTGAAGGGACCAAGGATCATCATGCCACGTAATGGGTAAACGATTTATAAAATGATATTTCATAAAAATAAAAAATTCAAACACAATAAAACAGTTATGTTTTACCTTTACGGTGTATTATGTTGTTCGCTTTATAACATGTTCCCAGGTATCTGCTCGTACAGTTAGAAAATACAGTATAAAGAGGATTCATTTATTAAACTAAAGTACTTTCGCTACTGTTCTTTTTTATTGTTCTAAACTTCCCATATGATATAAAAGTTTGAAGCCGAGAAAATAGATGAAGTTCAGGACCATCTAACCAGAGTTTAATAGTGTATTGGGTAACATAATTGATTAAAGCCAATGCAGTATCATAGCAAACAGCTGATTGATTTATCACTTAACAGAGAATATTGTCTCTAGTTGGTGACCATCTCAACAGATTGCACCACTCTTTTTTGGTTTCAAATGTTTACATTAATTGGGAAGTCTATTCTTTGTATAGTCAATGCCAGTGTACACTTCCGATTGTTACAACTTGTATTACTAGAAGTACTGTAATAGAACAATTGATTATTTGCCATGCTGTGATCGTTATTTGTATACATATCACAGATTGCACCACTCTTTTTTGGTTTCAAATGTTTACATTAATTGGGAAGTCTATTCTTTGTATAGTCAATGCCAGTGTACACTTCCGATTGTTACAACTTGTATTACTAGAAGTACTGTAATAGAACAATTGATTATTTGCCATGCTGTGATCGTTATTTGTATACATATCAGTATACAAATAAAAATATAAATGATAGATGATAATCAATCATTTATATAGAAAATAAAAATAAAATTTATATACAAAAATATAGATGATAATCAATCATCTATATGTTTGATTTAATCCATTTAAGACTGTGTGTTTTAGTTCGTATCTCATGGTGCACGTGTCAATAATGGGACTTAGCTATCACAGCTAGTATGTTTAATGGTTTTATACAATGTCATGTTCATAATAGGAATAAACATTGAACAAATCAGCAATGAGAAAATGTGAAATGTCTTACATGGATCGGAGTACAGCAGAATCGCGATGTACCCAAGACAAGGAATAAGCCCAGAGTGTTTCTTCCTCTACAACAATTTTTAAGAATAAGAATATATTTATTTCCAAAATTACAAATCAGTACAATCGTGGCTTAAAACAATGAACAAAAAGAGAAAAAAATCCCCACAAAGACTGTACATCTGTGTGTGGTGAGAGTCTTCTTTGTCGCTCACCACTTCACAGACAAGATAACAAAATAAACAAATAATTATTTAAATAAAAAGAAGTAAATTTAAAGTAAAATACC